ATCGACTGAGATAAATAATAAAATGAAATATTAAAATCATGATGTATCTCGCTGCATTGCGCGAGTACGCTTCTAGTTATCTTATAAAATATTTGACTAAAACTCTTAAAAACAACATTTTAAACATATAGTACTACCAATTAATGTCAAATTACTTAAAGACAACCCCTATTGCTTTAGGTACAACCTATTAAAGCATACTAAAGCCATGCATATCCCTAAACCCAATCCCATTTTTATCGTCATCCCTAATCTCTCCTATCCCTAACACAAAATCGATTTTCAAACCCATGAACATAGATTTTGATGAAATCGATTCCAACCCAATTCGATTTCTTCGGTTTCAACAGATTTTGAGATAAAAGAGATTTCGATTTCTATCTTATCCCTAAACCCAATTCGATTTTCTCGCCATCCCTAATCTCTCCTATCCGTAAAACCGATTTGGATGAAAAGAGATTTCGATTTCTGTTGACTCTGTTTGTAGTTCGAGAATTTGCTACTATCAGTATACGGATTTTGAGGTACGAAGTTTCGTATTTGATCTTTTTTATTTGGGTTGGTACATTGATGTAGCATTTAGCATCTTTTCATCCAGTTGAAGATTTTAGGGTTTTGAGGGTCGTCAGGAATCTGTTTAGATGAATGTCATTCATGTTTTGTCTTTGAATGATTTTTGTTAGAAAAGAAAAAATATTATCAATATTTGCATAACATAGGTATAGTTTGGAGATGTGTACAGGTCTGTATTTATTCGCTTGTGTGCTTCCCAGTTTCCCTTAGCTATCAGCATGTCTGATCAATTAATTGTCTTCATGGTTGTCCCCTTATTTACAGGGTTTATTTGGACTGATGTCCTCCTGATCAACGAAGTGTTATCATAGGCTGCTCTTCAAGATTTTTCTTTCGAGGTTGTCACTCTGACACTCTTTACTCCTCTCATTAATGGTTATTTTGTCTACATCAACCTAATTTGCTTAGCTGAAAACTCACCTATCTTGTTTGAATGTTCATGGCTGGTGGTATTAGAAGTTTTTTTCTTTCTTTTTTTTTTCTTTGTAATTCTTTCTTTCTTTTTTAATTCTGTTTAATTTGTTTACACCGCTTCTGTTTAATTCTGGATGGTAACTCCTTGCAAGCTTCCTATATGCTAAAAATGGATTTATAGACAGACTTTTACAAAAAAAAAAATACCATTTTCTTAGGACAAACAGTTGGTTATTATCACAGAAAACATGATACAAAAATGTAGTTAGAAAATTCAAAATCACCTTTCCTGGAAACTGATACAGAACAACCACAAAAAGTTGTTGCAAGCAAGTATATTGGAATACAAAAAACATGTTTGACAAGATGGCATATACCAAGCCAAGTGTTTACAGTAAAACCTCTAAAAACAGTTGGGTTGAACAGTTGGATCTTTTTTGGCAATCATCCCATACATGAAGAAGATATATGCATCAAATACAGAAGATATAACATATTGCATGTTAGGACAACATATATGTCTTCAAGGATCATGGCCTTGCCCAGATAATCACAGACACAAAGCTGTGAGGCTCTGTACCCAGGGAGCATTATATCCTCTAAACTATAAACAGATTTCCTTGACGACCATAAGATCTCATGTAGGGTAAAAGAACAACTGTCAAATAGTACATTTGAAAAGAAAGAGAGACTAAAATGAATATTAGTTGTACCATTAGCAATATGGTTAGATAAAAAATTTCATAATTTAGTGGCCAAAACTTCTAGATGTATGCAAGTTCCCTAACCTTGCTTATAGAATAATATTTTTTAGAAATTGAAACTCTTGCAAAGGCTTTGTTCTCACCATGAATGCCTCCCAGAAAACCCTTTATTCCGAGCTATAAAGATCAGAGCATTTACCTTGTCTACTACACAGACTCTGCCACTAGGGGTGATAGTAAAGATCTAGACTAAAATCATCTTCCAGATTTCCATCTGCCTAAAAGCAGAACTTGTTTTACCAAATGCAACTGTATCTGCCTTAACTGTTATTTTAAATTTTATCTGCCTTAACTGTTGTTTTAAAATTTATTTTTGTAGCATTTGTGAATATCTATTATATGGATACAGTAGAGAATGCAAACAGTAAATGAAGAATGCAGTTGCCTTAACAAGGATGTAAAATACACAGCTGTCTTAACTTAAAGCTATTAACAAGGAAACATATACATTAATTTATAAATTATAACATATACATTAATTTATAATTTATAACATATACATTAATTTATAATTTATAACATATACATTATATGCACCTTATAAACAATCTGATACATACTAATCCTGGTCACTTTCTCTACTAATTAAGATCTCTAAATTAAGATATGAGTCAGCTTATTTGTGACAGTGATGTAATGTTTCATATAGCTCCATAACCATTCCCTGCTTAAGTACACAGTGATGTAATGTTTCACATAAGTCCATAACCATTCCAATGCATGCTATGAACTGTTGTGGCTGCCTGCTAGTTCAAACTTATGGTACCAGATCCAAGTTTAAGGTTAGTGCACATAAACAAGGTTGTGGCTGCCACATGTAGCCTGTTTCCTTATGATTGATGCCATTTTTTATATGAATAAAAATATATACTAGAGAACAGTCTACTTCTAAGACTACACCCTCCTTTAAGTTTAGTTTTTGGACAGGAGCTTTGTATGTATATGGATACATTAGAGAATGCAAACAGTTAATCAACAATCATTCTTTTTCCTACTGTTGCTCCTGGCCAAAATCCTGCTGTTATATGTTGGACAAATTGAAACCAATTCGTGATGCAAAGTTATTAAGTACTACCCTTTTAATATATGTGAGGTGTGTATTTAGTTCAAGTAAAAGAGAGAGTTCACAGTTGAAGAAAGGGAGTTTTCAGCAGTGTAGAATTTCACTCTGCAGTCTTTCTAACCTCATTCTTTAAAAATGTCTTGAATATCTTTGACAAACTTATATATATGAATGCCCTTCATGTATTTGATTCATCGTTCAAGCAATGGTAGGGTCAGAATGTGAATCAAACTAACATTTTTGTAGAGAGAAGGGACTTACTGCGGCCTCAATAGTTGTGTCACCAAAAAAGGTGGCTTCAAACTTGAGATCCTTGATTACGGCATTAAGGGTTTCAATCTGTGACTCCAGATCCTTTCCTCTTCTTTTCAGAATCTCGATGGTTTGTTTAGATGTTCTCTCAGCATAGTAACCTTCTCCTAATAGAACATGTAAGTAATCTGGATATGACTCATGAGGTCTAAACATTTGTTATAGCAGTTTGCTTTCATGCCACAACCCAACTGATATCTCAAAGAAACAACTAATGCATAAATAAGGGGAACTTCATACTCAGAACATCTGATAACACATTAACATTTTAACAGGTGGCAAAACCAAACTAATCTTTGGTTTTATAATTGTTCCTGCATAAAACCAAACTAATCTGTTTTTGGTGCAATTTGTCATCCACAATTTATCAAAGGGATTGATTCATATACATTGATCGATTCCTTTCAAAGGGATTTAACGATGTAAGTTTTTCTCGAACCTTCTACACACTATTTAATACTTAGAATTTATATATGTTTGGTATGTTTTCTTGATACGTTGTTTAATTGGAAGTATGTGGTTAAGGAAAATTTTCCTTATTATAATCATATCAACTTATCAAAAAGAGATTGTGAGATAAATCTCACATAATGCACAGGTGTGTGTGTGTGTACATGGAGATAGGCATACATGCGTATAAAATCCGGGGAAGCAAGTGAAAATATAAGAAAAAGACCCCATATAATGACTGTCAAAGTCTTCCTCAAGTGCTTAATGTAAGTAAACACTCTTTCTCAAATAGGGTTGTTTGGTTGTTATATAGCCCTTTACTTGTGCAGAAAATAACAACCAAACAGGGCTGTTTGGTTGTTATACAGATGATTTTTTCATTTGCAAGTAAACACTCTTTCTCAAAAATCAGTTTATATGTATGAGCTTTACTATGGTTCCACAATAAATGTGCAAAGTTTGTAGCTAACATGTTTTTAGCTAATCAGAGATATATATAACTGTCAAAGTCTTCCTCAAGTCATCTTAGGTGCTTAATGTAAGTAAACACTCTTTCTCAAACAGGGCTGTTTGGTTGTTATACAGCCCTTTACTTGTGCAGAAAATAACAACAAAACAGGGTTGTTTGGTTGTTATATAGATGGTTTTTTCATTTGCAAGTAAACACTCTTTCTCAAAAATCAGTTTATGTGTATGAGCTTTACTATGGTTCCACAATAAATGTGCAAAGTTTGTAGCTAACGTGTTTTTAGCTAATCAGAGATATATAAGCTTTACTATTGTGGTTTGCAATGAGAAACTAACTACAATAATTTGAAATTTATATATGCCGTATCGGGAGAGTGTTTATCACTTAGGGGGTGTTTATTTGATGTCTTGTCTTTGATGACACATTTAATCTTATTGAGACCACTTAAATTGTTCATATGCCTTATATGTTGTAGTCCATTCCTATCTTAGAAGCTTTTGGTAATGCGAAAACTGTGAGAAATAATAAATCAAGGTGAGGTGAACTTCCATTTGCAATTCCCTGGACAGTCTTGCATATGTTCTACATTAATCATTTCCAGTAATGCTTGTATATTGCCACCATTTCAGTTGCTTTGGCAAGTTTGTGAAGATTCAGTTTGATCAGAAGGGAAGGATTTCAGGGGCTGCTATTAGAACGTACTTATTGGAAAGATCTTGTGTACATCTCGAAAGGAATTATCATTGCTTCTACATGCTTTCTGTTGTACCACCAGAGGTAACAAGTCTTCACCTTACTGGAACAGGAGTATAAATGTGCTTACGCATAATTTATTCTTTCTCAGTCTCTAAACACAAAGTTGGATATGATTTATGGAGATTTTTATGTTGTGGTAGTTTATAGATGGTTTCTGCAATCTGATTTGTTAATCACATGAACTATTTTCTGGTTTGCCAAAAATGATTGCAAATGTTCATTTTGCTCTAGCAGTTTGTTTGGTTGATCATCATATAAACTTATTTATTTGATTATTCTTTTATTTCCAATATCTTGTTTCCAAATTTCATGTCAATCTTATCTATTGTGCTTCTAGGATCTTCAAAGATTCAAATTGGGAGACCCAAGGACATTCCACTAGGCACTAGATGTCATATTTTAGTTTGTGTGTACATCACCTGTGTTAACAGTGACCATATCTAATGAATGCGATCCATGCCCAACTTGAAGGCTTGCATGTGCTCATCCATTTCTATTGATGCCATTAAGACCAATGATTGCAACTGTATTGCTGACTAATGTTGTGTAACCAATGATTGCAACTGTATTGTTGCACACTTTTCATTGTCAATATGCCATAACAAATACATACACTTAGCTCCATTGGTTGAAATACATGCAAAGCACCTTGTTGACAAAATAAAAAGTGATGGTAACAAGCTATTTAGTAGTGCATTATTATTTATTCATGATATTTAGTAAGATCTATGTTCACAATTACTAGCATTTTTCTTTCTTGCCTTTTTGTTCTATTTTATTTTTTGGCTTTTTTGTTTTCTTCCAAATTAACCAAGCCATTTGGTTTTATCAATACTTTAACCAAATTTAAATCCTGCTTTTAATGTTATCAAGATGTTTATTAAGGTGCAACAACATGTTCTTCTCATAATCATTGATATTATGTAATTAAATTTTGGTGTTAAAATGATTTTCTATCACGTTCTGCATATACTAGGTCAAAATTTTCATATATGACAAATGAATTTTATTTATTAGAGACAAATGTACTCTTAGATACAATTGGTGAATACATATCAAAACAAGAAATTATTTTATTGACGTTTTACCTTTCAAGTATCATTGCATGCTCTTCTGCTCTAGGACTTAAAGACAGGTAAATGATTTTTCCAGGATTCTGCATGTATTATACCAGACATAAGACGATTATCGAAGACCTTATCAATGAGTTGATCAAGAAGGTATCCCAGATATGTCGCAGTCCCTGAAGTGCCTACACTGAAGAAAGGAGGAAGAAGAAAAAGACCTTTAAGCCTAATAATGGACCATCCCTGAGGAATGAACATGAAACAAAGTTCTCCTTAGTTGAAGTCATGAAGGCTTCGAAGAAGCCAGACATCTCTATGCTGAATCTCTCAGTGCCAGCGAAGGGTCCCTATATACCCAATACTGTGCATATGAAGCCTGAGATAGGATTTATTTTCATTGACTATGATGGCGAAGTCAGCTTTCAAAGAATGTCTGAGTTGCATCTCAGTCCAATGGAACATCTTGCATACATCTGTACTTGGCTAAAAGATGACATATATGGTGAAGCGATGGACATCAGGATCAGAAAGGAATTTTGACGTCGAAAGGAGCTCGGAGAAGATGTACCTGGTTACATTAATCTGAACAACTTAGATTAGTTATTTATTTTGTACTTCGTTCTTTCACTATATAAACTATATTCTATGTCTACTTTCAGTGATTATTCTTATATCTTCTAAGTATTAGACATGTACTGAAGACTTGTAATATTTCCTTTGAAATTAATATAAGTATTTTTGTGCATTACTGAAAAAGATCCTTGAAAAGAGTAATAAGAATACAAGTCTATGAGTTACCGTATTACTTTACATTCACTGAAAATCTATAAGTCAGTGAATGTGCTATCAGTTTCAGTTTCCCTTCTTTTAAAATTTTTCTTAGACTTGAACTTAAGAAAATTTTCTAAGTAAAGACTGACTCACTGAAAAAGATCTCAAAATAGTTAAAAGGGACATGTATTTTATATGTAACTTTTTTTACTGTTATTTGATAAGACAACTTTCTTTATGTTGCCTTGTTATCATCAAATAGGGGGAGATTGTTGATCCTCTCTCTCAGTGATTTGATGATAAATATTTTTACCTTGTACGAAATATTTATTTTTTCTGTCTTTCAGTTCCAGCAATCATCACTGAGTCTGTTTAGTGATCGCTGAGAACATGTAATGTAAATCCATCAGCGACAGCGATACTTCAAGAAGACAAAACTCACACCAAAGAACCTTCAGCGAAGTTAAAGACTGAAACTGAAGATTAGAGACTAGCGAGTTCATGATCTGAAGAGGTATTCAGTGATTACAACATGATATGTGAAGACTGCCCAAGCCTCAGCGAATACTGAAGAGACCTTCAGGTTATTCCAGCATTCAGCGATCAAAAGAAGCTTGTTGAGCATGATTGTTTTTGTCTTGTACTTATACACACAAAGAACAAACCCATACCCTTTCTAGAGCATAGTAAGGTACAGAGCCGATTAGTTGACTCTACTACCCACCAACTCCATGAAAGGATGTCTGCTCATGAATAGGCTTTTGTATTATTCACTGTAGCAAAGGACAAGTCTTTCTCTAAATGCTTCACACGTGTTCAAACCCTAATGTGTTGCATTAAATGTGTATTTAATGTAATGGGTATAAATAGATGTGTTCTATCTCCATGCAGAGATACTGATACTTACTCTTGAACCCTAACTTATTGTTCATAAGTAAAAAAACACACATCTAAGAACACAATACGCTTTTCTTCAAAAACAAGTTAGAATCCCTTTTTAGTGTTCTAAATAGTTCTTACCAAGAAAAGAACTTATTTTCTTCTAGTCTTAAACAACAAATCATTTTTCTTTGCTAAGAACTAGTGTGTAACTTAGATTGTTTAGATATGTTATTTTTATCTTATCTTTCAGCAAACAATCTTGTAAAATCTGTATTGATCATTCTTTGTCAATATATATTTTAAATTTGAAAAGTTCACTGTGTTTGTATTCATCACCCCACCCCCTTCTACAAACTATTATACACATCTTGTAGACCCTAACGGGACCAACATATACCCTTCTAAATTTTGTTTTGTACTTTCAAAGGTGAACACCAAACACTTAATTGTTTTGTACATGGCTTCTAAAATATCTTTTGTATTTTTTTGAAATCGGTTTTGTATTTTAAGGTTCTCATAAGTTGTATACTTCGAAGTTGCATGTTTTGTACATGGCATTCAATTCAAGTTGCATTTATAATTCATTTGCAAACGGAATATTAACCATAGAACTTTATATCTGATCGATTAAATACCCAACGAAGTAGCTATTTTGAAATCAAAAGTTTCTTTTTCTCCTTCTGCATTTGTTTAGCGAAATGTTCTTGAGATAAAATGTATGCAACATATATAGTCATTTATATGATATGTGTGTCTATTCTCTTTTTGATTCAACTCTGGTTTGTTCGATTGTTTTTATCCATTGAAATGACAGAGAGTTGCGCTTTTGAATCTTTTGTATCGATTCAAGGTAATGGCTCCCTGTCTTCCTCATACCTCATGCTTATTCTCTCTCCTTTATTTTTTTTTCTTTCTGTTTGATCGTTGTTAAAATTTAAAACTATTTGTTGTTAATTTGCCCATGGCTTAGTATCCTTCAAGAGTAGTGATTTAATGTGTATTATTGTTGTTGTATGTACATGATGCGAAGTTATTCCATTGATTTGCTTTATGGGCCACCATGAACCATTTAAATGATAATAGGTACTATTGGGGTGCATATAATACCAATGTTCTTTGCAATCTCATTTTGTTAAAAATCAAAAGGTCATTATGCCTTTTTCGATTTTTTATCTATAAATTGCTTTTGATTTTTAATATGAAGTTGTTAAGATGAAATGAAAAAACATATTTGTTAAAGTGAAATATATTTGTTTATACTATATATGAAAAAACAGAATAAACTCATTGTTGAGATAAAACTTTATCTTTCATTCATGTAGGGAAATATATATTTATAGCTATAATACTAATTCATTTTCTTTTTGTACTCATATTCTTACATGCATCTATTTGAATTAGAAGGGTACTCGCGCAACGCAGCGAGATAAATCTCCATTTTGAAGTTTAATTTTTATTTTTCTCTATCGATATAATACGATTTTATGTGGTTTTGAGAAAACGATAATGTTTTTATTTTTGAAAGAAATATAAAGTTGAAAAAAATAAATCGATATTAGTATCAAATTAACTATTTAATAATTTTTTTTTTGTGTAACTTTTTTAATTCAATTTTTTATTATACGTTAATTTAGATTTAATAACAAAGTAATTTTATTTTTGGTT